GGGAGCAGAACAGGCAGATGTACTGAAATACACTGCTGAGGGGAGCAGTGGGTGAGACAGAAGAGGTCTGCTGCGCCATGTGGCTGACCTCCCTGGTGGGGAATCGAACCCATGCTGCAGTGGCTGTGGATAGCTTCATAGCATTGCATCTTAACCCCTTGTGAGACCAGGAAGGCCGGCCGTATCTCTGCATCTTTAGTTTTTTACTTTGCAAGTCAGTGCCCCTCCTCCTGCTCCCTCCCATGAAGCCTGATTTCAGTTCCAAGAAATAACGTCAAAACTCTACAACTTTAGAACTGGAAGGACCTAAAATGCTAAAAAAAAAAAAAAAAAAAAAAAAAAATCAAAAAACACACAACTCTACCATTTGTTGAAAACTATTTTTTAAAATGGTTTTCAGTAAGAATAGCCTTTTTGAATTTTATTAAATGTCTTGTTAGCATCTAGTGAATTGATGATGTGATTTTTCTTGTTCAGCACATTGACATGTGCTCTTTTTAAATGCATTCCACTACTAAAGACCCATTCTAGGCTTCCTGAGGTAAATCAGCAAGAAATCTTACAGCTCATCCAGGTCTGTGGTTTTCAATTAGATGCAGCCAAAAACCTTCATTTCAGATGAGGAAATAATGGAGGCGCTGAGAAGAGTGAAGTGCATCATTTGTGCTTTTTAAATATGGTCCCTAGTTTTTTTCATGTTTCTTTTTTTCCTAACCAGGCTGTCAAAACCCCAAAGAGCAAGCACTGAGCAACCTATGTAGCTTTGTCTCTAGAATATTTCACCCAAGGGGCACTCACTCAATACTATTCACTATTAAATTGATTAATAGGCTTTCATACTGGAGTCCAGCAAGAAGTTGCAGGCTAAATAGGTAGCTGGAGGAGGAGGAAGTCATACCTAATAAAGGACTTCTAGGTAGCCAGAGAGGAATACTATTAAACCTGTGAGCAAAGATGGCTTGAGGTCTCCAGTCCTCAGGTGAGTTGAGAATTGGAGGAGATGGCTTCTTTCCACAAGACTGAGGAAAGAATACACTGACTTTTGACCAGGCTGATTAGCTTTGGTTCTTCCTATGATTGTTGATATTTTTTTTAAGCTTTACTTATTTATGCAAGCACTGGGATACAGGCCAGAGGCATGGGAGGGTGAGAGAATTCACCAGAGACAGAGCAGGGAACAGAATAGGCAGAAGGACCAAAATCTACTGCTGAGGGGAGCAGTGTGCAAGACAGGAGAGGTCTGCTGCGCCATATGGGTATCTCCCTGGCCAGCTAGGAATTGAACCAGTGCTGCAGAGGCTATGGAGAGCTTCACAGCGCTGCTCTCAACTGGCTGCACCATCCTTCCTATGATTGTATGATCATCTGCTCCCTCACACCTCTGTAGTGACTTTATGTGCCAGATTTCCTGAGACTTCACATTTTCAAATACTTCCTCTAAGCCACTGAGATGTTTCAGAAAAAAACAGACCATGCATCTGCATTCCCAGCTTTTCCAGAGCTTTGTCTCATACTCTACCCATGCCCATGTTTGTCCCCTTCCCAGCAACAGACAAACAGAAGGCAGCTAAGAATTAGGCCCCTGTACTGGATGTGCAGTGGGTAGAAGAGGATAAAGCTGAAGAATAGGCTGAAAGGGGGTTAAAACCTCCCTGCTCTTCTTCCCAACCACCCTAGCTAAGCTAGAAGGGCTGGGCAGGGGTGGGGGGGGGCAGTGTGAGTGTGCTGGTGGAGGTGGAAGATGGACTGTCACCAATGAGACTGCAGGGCCTCAGGTTCCCAGGCTCCTGGAGTTCCCTGGAGCTGCAGAGTCTTGCCTTCTCTTTGTTCCATGGCTGCGACAAGTGAACCTCCTGCACAACACATGCTTTTTCTCCAGGAATTTGGAAGCAACTAGAAATTTCTGTGAGGGAAGCACAGAGGGGAGCACCCCAGACTTTGTCTACACTGTTCCCAGGATCCTGACATGAAGAGTCATGACTGAGAGCCACCCAGAAGTGGAATAGGGTAGTGAGTGTTGTCTGGCGGGGCACAGGCACTTTTCTGGCCTGAGTCTGTCCCCTCACCCTCGTGAACTAAGGCCTCCCTGCTGTCCTACCCCAGTGTTCTTGGAGTCCCAAAGCAAGGCCCAGGCCCAAGGAGAGTTTAGAGAGGTAAGGGGTTGGGTGAGGAGTGTTTGATCATTTGTACGTGTGCATTGATTGTATTCCTGTGACTTTGTAAATCTTCTAAGGCCTGGCCCCCCGGGTGCCTCAGTGTCACCACGAATGTCATGGCTATGTGGCTGTGACATGCGGTGTGCCTTTGTGTGTCAGGCAGGGGCTCCCTGTGGTGTGCATGTACTGGGAGGGGGTGATGGTGGGAGCGTGGCTCCCTCGCCTCCTCCCCCAGCCCTGCTCCCATCTGGCCTTGATCAGCCAGTCCCTGGGGAGGGAGCCGCGGTTTCGGATACAGGAAAATGTTCCAGGAAGCGGCCACTGTGCTGGGCCCAGCTCAGACTCCCCTGGCGGAAATTGTTCCAGGAGGGAGGGGGCCTGGGAGTGTTGCGATAGGATTAAGGGTGGAGGGGGCAGCTCTTGGCTCTCCTCCCTCGGGATAAGGCAGGATAAGTTGATGAGAACCTGGATGCTGCTACCTAACTCATTTCATGCAGGAAAGCTGAGCGCCAGCAAGAGGATTCCTTTTCTTATCTGGTTCTCTTCCCAGGGATGTTTAAGGACCGGGATCTGGGTGGCCTCTGGGGGTCCCTTTTCTGGCCCTGCTTGCACGTTCCCAAGTTGGGGACCGGAACACCTGGGTCTTGTCTAAAGTGGTGCGGGTTGGTAGGGAGGAGGGGGCGAAGAATTCAGTCCCTCTTCTCCCCACTGAGGGGGCTTTGAAGCTCGGATCCAGGACTGGGAGGGCTGCCTAATTGGCATAATGGAGGTTAATGGGGCGCCTGGAGGGGGTGGCCACGCTCCTAGATCAAAGAGGCCAGCTCTTCCCAACCGCCACAGCTGGAGGTCACAGCTGGAGGGGGAGGGGCGGGGCCGGGCCAGCCGGCAGGGGGTGCTCGGGCTCCTGCGCGCGGGGCTCGGAGTCCGAGTCCTTCTTTGGGAATTACTTTCGCCTGGAGGGTGGGTGCCCGCGGGGGCGGAGGGGCCTGAGCCAGACGCCCTCGGGTGCGGGGCGCGCAGGGCGAGGGCGCAGAGGCGCGCGCGGCCGGGCCGGGGTGTCCGCGCAGGCGGCGCCGGGCGCCGCAGGTCCAGGTCCCGAGGAGCCGGCACCCCGAGGCCGGACCTGCGGCCCAGATTCGGCGGGGCCGAGAGCCCCGGGCGGGGCGGCGGGGGCACCGCAGCCCCGCCCCCCCGCCCCGCCTGGCGCGCCCTCCCGGGCTCTAATCGGCGCGGCGGCCGCAGCGGGCAGAGTCAGCGCCGCCAGTCTCCGGGACGCGACTCCCAGCAATTGTGGTCGGGACCGCAGATATGCAGCTGCCTCCTGCCCGGGCGCGCGGCCCGGCCCGCCCCGCCCGCGCCCCGCCCCGCCCGGCCCCCGCCCCCACCCCCGCGCGGGGACCCCGCGGCGCCCCGGCAGGTGGCGGCCCCGAGCCCGGCCCGGCTGCGGGGGACGGCCGGGGAGACCCTCGGTTTCCCCCCGCGGCTCGGGCCGCACGGTCGGCCCTTCTGGGGCTCCTCGATCCCAGGCACCTGGAGTTGGGCTGAGACCCCCCAGTCTGGCCTCCGGCCTCCACGCGGAAAAGGGGGGCAACGCTCCGAGGCCCCGAGCGGGCGGCGCGGCTGCGGGGCGCGGTGCGGGGGGGCTGCGCCCCAGGGGTCTCAGGAGCTGCGCCTGGGGCAGAAGGAAGGGCGGGCGAGGCAGCCGGGCGGACGCCGGACTTCAGGGGGTTCCGTGTCCTAGAGAAAAGCGGCGGGTGGGGGGCGAGGCAGGGGTGAATGGAAAAGAGGAGAGGAAATAGGTGGGGAGGGGCTAGGGCAGCTGAGAGAGAGGAGAGAAACCCGGTTCTTAGCTCCAGCCCGCTCCCTGGACCCTAGGACCAGATCCAGCCCTGCCGGGGTCATGCTCACCACTGAATAGAGAGCCCTTCAAATGCCTGCCTGGCCTGTGTGCACCTACACACACACACACACACACACACGTGTCGTCTTTGACTGCTCCCCTCCCTCACTGCCCAAGTCCAACCAGACACCCAGTCCTGTCTCTACCAACTTCTAAATTTCACCTGACCATTTGCTGCTCCAGATGACATCCTCTCCCCTGCAGCCTGGCCTGCTACCACCAACCAGTTCCCCTGTCCTCATTTTGCCCTCCTCCAAACTCGGACAATAGTAACAGGCACCATTTATGAAACAACTGCGAGGTGCCAGACACTGCGGTAAGAGTTGCACATGTATTATTCCTAATCCTTATAAGAACCCTGAGAGGTTGCTGTATTATGTTTCCCCTCCTTCTAAAGAAGAATCTAAGGCATCAAAGGTTAAAGAGTCTACCCAAGCTTACACCAGAGTAAATGGCTGATTTTCCCAGAACTGCTTGGCTCTAAGCCCCTAATCCATTGTCCTCTCTGCAGCTGGGGTTGTCTTTCGCATATACAAATATTCCCATATGTCGCCCTGGGGATCAATTTCAGATCCCTTACATAGCTGATTAGACCTTCCCCATCAACCTCCACTCTGTGTCTCGGTCACGCCCATCTTCCTGCGCCTCAAAAGTGTTGTCAATCCCTCATATCTCTGGATCTTTCTTATACTTTTCCTCCTGTTTATAAAAGTTCTCCCTCCATTCACTTGACTAAACTTACCTTCTTCCAGGAAGCCTTTCCTGATGCCTCAAACACCAACTGAGATTCTTCTTTTGTCTCCAAAACCATTCAATACTGACTCTCTCAAGATTCTTTCCCCTCATGCACTTTCTGATCTGTGAGGCAAAGGCCTGGGTCAGGCTCAGCTGAGTCCTCATGCTGGAACCTCGCCCTTTGCATGTAGCACGAAGTAGTTACTTACTGAGCATTTGTTGAATGAAAAACGTTCCTTGTCGTCCAGTCTACATCTCAAAAAGCTGCTCTTAGGATGAAGCAGAGCAGGTCAGAGATGGGGGTGGTGGTGGTTGGGGGAGATGTGTGTCTAGGATTTTGGAGGACCATTCCCTTGGATTGCTCAGCCCCATTCCTAAGGACCGAAGATATGATCAGAATCCTGTCACACCAAGCCTGCCGGCCACTAACATAGTTCATGTGTCATATTCCATGGTTTTAATTTTTTATTTCCAAGAAGGCACTTCCTAGAGATGACCAGGCCTTAATTCAATGCCTGCCCACGCGAGACATCCACCCAGGGAAGGTTCTCGTCCCCGCTCCCTTCCATTTCCCGTTGTCCCCTGCCATCCTAGCTCTTCCTTCTCCTAAAGCACTTCTCATTCTGGTTCTGATCTACCCCCCAAGAACTGCTACTTTAGCTCAGGGCTCAATTATCAACGAAAGAAACTGAGACTCAGGGCGGAAGGTGGCCAGGGTGCTGGCTAGCCCTGGTGCTGAAAGAGGACAGACTCCTAGCAGCGAGGGAGGCTGAGGCAGGCACGTCCCTGCACATGTATACACACGTGTTGGGGGTGGAGGCTTCTCTTCCCAACCGCCTTTACAGAAGTTGCCGCAGGCCTCTTCAAAGGGTCCCTTTTCCTCAGTATCCTCAGTTCTGCCTCCCAGAATAGGATCTTCTTCCCCAAGCTCCCTGAACCTCGGCTCAGAATGCTGGCTCGAGGCCCTGGGCAGTGTCCCCATGCCCAGGCCCGGAGTGGATCTTCTGCACCCAAGGAGCAAGATTCCCAGATCACAGCCCCATAATTTTGGAAACAGCACCAACTGTTTCCCTCTGTCTTTGTTTCCCCGACACTGCGGGGGGTGGGGGGGTGCTTCTTCTTTCCTGTCCCCTCTGTGTTCTCAGTCACTGGTGTCTACACCAGAGACAAGGGCTGAGCCTGGGTGCATGGGGGGTAGTGGCCAGACCAGGGGCCCGGGACATGAGCGCAACTTTCCAAGCTTCTCTTCCAGGCCCCTGTGGTTGGGGAGCTCCACAGAGGGAGAGATGAGTCAGTGGGGCCGCAAAGCAGGGGGGGCCTGGGTGGGGGTAGGGATGCCGGGGTTCCCCGGGGCCAGGGAGTTCACTGGGGCCATCTGGTTCTCTGACCTCTGGTAGATATGGAGTGTAAAAGCTCAGTGAGTCCCCCAAAAGTACACTGGAGGATCCTACACTAGTGGGATTTGCAGGTGGCAATTTGTAGGACTGGCAGTGTCTGCCACATCACCCTTATTCCCAGATCCTATAAGAAGAGGGGTTCTAAATCCCCTCTAGGAGATCTCAGGGATCTCTAGAGCTGTAAAATTATGATGACAGGCCCATGTGTATGTATGTGACCTATTTCATGTGTGTGTGCGTGTTGCTGTGTGTGAGTTCCTGTGAGGGCTATTCCATGTGACTGAGAGTCTGCATGTGTGTGTACTGCTGTCTGTCTAGTGATGAGGGTTAGTGAGTGTCCTGGTGTAAGTATCATCTGTATGCATATGTCACTGTGTGTCAACATGGGTGCCTGAGGAGTGTGTATGTATATATTCATGATTCAGCATGTTTGCAAGTGTGTATGTGAGAGTGTGTCACTCAGTAGGCGTGTATTAGAGCATGCGTCAATTTCTGCATTTCAGGGGCCATCTGCTATTCACTGATGATCTGTCTAGGGTAGCGGAAACTTCTAGGACAACAGAAAGCAGGGCTTAGGGGTCCCTTTGGATTAGGGACCCAGAGGGAGTCAGGCCCGGGTGGGTAGGCAGAGGGCAGTAGGTGTAGAAGGGCACAGCATCCCTGAGGGGGAGAGAAGTCTCTCACTCTCCCCAGATTTCACCCTTTCTCCACCCCCAGTGATCTTTCCAAAAGATCCAAAACCATTAGAGATTGCTGAGGCAGGTTCCAGATCCAAACCCCTCTAACCTTAGAAATCCCACCCTGACTTCTAGGGAAGGGAGGGAAGGGAGTGGTGGTCTCTGTGGTTCAGCTCAGTCCTGGGGTTGAAAGATCAGAAAGGCACCATCCCACCCCTTCCTTCTGGGGCGTCCATCTCTTGGAGCTCAGCGTCTGGGTGGCCATGGGCGGAGGCTGAGGGGCCCCCAGGGTGGTGGGGGGTGGTGGATAGAAACCAGATGCCTAGGGGGTTTACACTGGAAGGACCAGAGCCGCAGCCTCTACCCGCCCCTGCCACATGGCGCCTCTGCCTGGGCCGCCCCACCCCCTGGGAGGCTGGGCTGAGGGAGGCCTGCGAGGGTGGAGGCAGGTCCTCGGTCAGGGCTCCCAGTCACTACCCCCAGTCCTGAGGGCACTAGGAAGGGGTTGGGGGGACTGGACCCAGGAATTCCAGGGCCTCTGCTGGGCTGAAAAACTATTTTTCCTAAGGGTGTGGAGGAAGTCAGAACCCAGGGTCCTGAGGGGGTAGCTGTGGGCCTCAGGTAGTCCGGCTGCCTGGCTTTGGCACAGACTTTTGGGAGGGGACTCTGTGTCCAGGGGCACCTTGGGGACTCTGGCTCGCACCTTCTTGGGGACCCTGCCCCTTCCTTTTTCTTCCCCCTCACTCCTGTCACTTCCGAGATAGATTAGAATGGGAGAAGATGGTCCTCCCTGTACCCCTCTCCTCTCCCCAACCCTATTTTTCCTCTCCCCCTTTCATCTTTCTTTTCCCCTTTCCGAGGGTTAGAGTGTCTATTCCTCTCCTTCCCAGTCTAGTCTGAGCTCCGGCCCTTCTCCTACCTGCCGTCTCTCCCTGGAGTCTCCGTGTTTCTCTCTGCTTCAGTTGCCGGCCTGGCCTGATGTAACTGGTCTCCAGTTTTTTCTGTCGGGGCGCAGCAATTTCTCCAAAACTTCCCCTTAAATTGGGGGGCCCTAGAAATCCATCTGGGACCTCAGGTTCTCACACCCCCACCAGGAGGAGACTGTGAGGTCATGGGGACACCCCAGCATGGGCACTTCCTCTTGGGCAGACGGGTGGGGTGGCCCGGGTAATCATCAGACACAATTATGTGCTATTTATACTGCATCCCCGCCCCCCACCTGCCTGGCCGCTTAACCCTGTGCCTCCTCCGGACCTGGCCAGGCCTCAGGCTATTTTTCTCTGACCTGTCCTTCAGAAGCCATTGTTTCCTCATTTCTGTTCCAGTGAGCTTCTTCATTTTTTCCTGCTTTCTCTGGGTTTTGTAAAGCCACACACCTGGCCTCCTGTTTCCCTGCTCTCTAGCTCTTATAGCCCATCGTGTCTCTTCAGATTCTCTCTTACTATGTTTCTTCTTTTGATTATTTTCCTTTGCATGCCAGCTCCCCAACCCTGTCCCCATCCCTAACCCTGTCCCCAAAAGTTGGGCCTGCAGGGTTCCTTGGCCAAATTACCTCAAGGGGCTGAAATCCAGAATTCCTGGGTCCTACCTTAAGCTTGGATCCTGCCCCCAGGGTAACTGGCCGCGCAGCTCTCCCTAGGCCTGCTTCTGCTCCTTCCCCTGCCCATCTTTTCCTTGGAGAGCTGGGAGAGCAAAAGGAGCCAGGAAGGGGGCACTCAAGAAGAGAAAGCAGGACTGTTTGGGGGGGTGAGGGGTGTGGGGAGGTACAGGGCTCCGCTCCTCAGACAGGCAAAAGGGAAGGGCTAGGTGCTGGGAGAGAGCTATGTTGGGGAGTAACTTGCAAAACCACCCCAGCTGGCTGGACCCCTCCAGAGAGAGAGGCTGTTTCTATCACTTGGCTGCTCAGTCCTCTCCTCTCCTTCCCTCCCCCACCATGTAAACTTACCTGGGGTCCAGGTTTCTGTTAATAGATTTTTGGGGTTTCCCACTCCCAATCTGGTTCACATTCCTTCTCTTTTGCCCCATTTTGATGAGAAGTCAATGTCGGGAAGTCCTGCCTAAGTTCCAACTTCAATCCTTCTTGCTGGAGAGGGAATTGGTGCGTGGATGGAAAGGGAACACGCGCTCCCTCCCAGGAAAGTGCCATCACTCAGGGGAACCAGCTATCAAAGAATGGCGATTAGCTATGTGGCACGGAGCTGGCAGGGATGGTTAATTGGTGGGGAATGATGGCAGCTAGGGCATATCTTTGGGAGGGGGGTGGTAATCCAAAGAGACTAGGCTTGCCCTTGGGAAGGATGAGTTGACCCAGTGACCTTCTCCCCCCCACACTGCTTGTCTTAACTGTTCTCAGAAATCAGGGCCTCCCTGGTGCTGCAAGGAGTTAAGCACAGCACTGTGAAGCGTCTGCAGCCTCTGCAGCACCAGTTCAGTTTGAGTTCAGTCTGAGCCCAGCTTGCCAGGGAGCTACCCTCATGGTGCAGCAGACCTCTCCTGTCTCCCCGCTGCTCCCCTCAGCAGTGTATTTCAGTAGATCTGCCTGTTCTGCTCCCCGCTCTGTCTCTGGTGAATCCTCTCACCCCCCCCACCTCTGGCCTGTACCCCAGTTCTTGTATGCATGAATAAATAAATCTTTAAAAAAAGTTCTCAGACTCAGAAGATCCAGGTTCTGCCCCACAGAGTGAGAGAGGCCTGGTGTTACTGCCTAGGAGTGAAACTGAGGCTTTGGAAAGAAGACCGTGGAAGCCCCAAGCCTATGCCAAGTCCTCCCCTACTCTGCCCCTTCCTTCAGGCCTTGCTCTGGAATCCACCGCAATGACCCTAAAAGTTTGGGCAGCAGAAGCCTCCACCCCACACTATGCCCTCTCTCCTGTCTCACCACACACACACACACACACACACACACACACACACACACTGCTCTGGATCCCGAGGTGGGGAGCCCGGAGGAAAGCATCCCCAGGCCGCCGCGGTGAGTGTGCCGCCCGCCACGTGAGCTTGTGTGTGCTCATTCATGACAGCGGCGGAGCCGTGCAGGCAGCAGCGTGTGCATGTGGACGTGTGTGGATCGTCCTGTTTGTCCGTGAATGTGTATGTCAGTGTGTTCCAGTCTCTCTGTGTGAGTGTCGTCTCCAATCCCCCATCCCCCCCTGGATCTCTAATTAGTGGTTTGGGGTTTGTTCCTTTTCCCTCCTGTTCCTTCCCTCAGCAGCGCAGCAGCAGCCTCAGCAGCCTCAGCAGCAGCAGGAGCAGCAGCAGCGGCCACCGCCAGCGGCCAGAACTCGGGAGTCAGAGTAGGACGTAGGATCGGAGCTGAGTGGGAGCAGGCGTGCGCCGGCCTGGGAGAGGACCAGATCCTCCCAGGCCCCTCAGGCCACCCGTGCCTGCACTCCCACTGCCCGACTCCAGAGAGGACAGAGCCAGGACACCCAGCCCCAGTGCCCCCAGGTACTTGATACTGGGGAGCTCTGGGAGGGGTCCCCACTGATGCCTGGGGGGGAGGGCTGGGGGCGGGGTGTGGGATACCTGGGCTCACCGGCCCTTCAAGTCTTCCTCCCAGCACCCCCAGGAAGCCCTGACAACTTGCCCTGCTCCTACCCTCCTCCTGTTTCCACCCCTTCCCCGGGAGCCTGTTTCTCTCTCCCGCCCAGATCCCTTCTTTGGGGAGCTCAGCAAATGGAGCAGGAAATTTGGACCCTCTGCCTCCCTCTCTCGCCCTGCTCATTGGATCCGGAGCCTTCTCCGCTGGGAAAGCTGTAATTAGAGGGTGGATCCCTACAGACAGAGAGCAGCCCCCCCACCCCCCACCCCCCAGTCCCTTCTAACTTTAGATCTCTTCTCTCCCATTCTCCCATTCTCCCTCCCTCTCCCTCTCCCTCTCTCTCCGGCTCGCTCTCTCCATCTGCCTGGCTCCTTGGGACCCGCTCCCCAGCCTCAGGATGGCGTCCTCCCTGCTTGAGGTAACTGCCCCTCTGACCCCGCCCGCAGAGCACCAGCTGGCGGTACTGTCCTCCGGGCCTGCCTCCCAACTCGTGCAGACAGTTGCTTCCAGCTTGTCACTTCCAGGGGTCTCTCTGGTGAGGTCAGAGGAGGGGGCAGGAGAAAGGGGACGAGAGTTGGGCCGGGGTCAGAGAACACACAAAGAAGATAAGAGGGGACCAGGTCAGAAGGCTTGGACCTGAGGTCAGCCAAGCACCCCAACTCTGCGTGCGGAAAAGGGATGGAGAAGGGAGGGAGAGGCGTGGAGCAGGAGGAGGGGGGTGGGCGACAGAAGGGCAGGGGATGGTTGAGTGGGAAGAGGGCCGGATGGGGTACAGGGCCTTGGGGTCCTGTCCCCTGGGACCCTTAACCTGGCAGCGTCTGGTTTGTATGTGGGGAGGGGGCTGGGCCTCTGGACCCGGGTGTGGAGGCCAGGAGGGGGGCTATGAGAGAAGGGCGCAGGGTAGTCCTGTGCATGTGGGGGGGCTGAGAGGGAACCAAGGAGGAGGGCCAGGGTCTGAGGCCGCCTGCCCAGCTTACAAATATTTAACTTTCAGCCAAAGACAAACTCAGCTCTATTTTGGGAGTGGGAGGCTCCAGGGCGGATGGGGCCACTTCCCCTCCAGGCTGGGACCCCGGCATCCCTTTCTTCTGGTATTGGGGATGGGGGCGACTAGAGTACCATGGGGTCAGGGCTTAGAAATCACTGACTCTGCCAAGGTTTCTGGGGGACTCATGCCCATCGTTGGAAGGGGGGGTCATGACCACTCCTCTCCAGCGGGACTGTCAGCCCTTCCTGCTCCTGAGTCTCTGACTCTGTTTCTCTGTCACCATCTCTGTCCTGATTTCTGCGTCTTTCCACAGGATCTTGGTCTCAGAGACCCCTCCCTTAAGGTCAACCCCCTTCAGTTGCCTCAAGCCTTCCACTTTCTGGGTCCTCTCATCTCTGCTCCCAGAGCGTGAGCTCAGTTCCCGGGGTGGTCTGCAAAGAGGAGGAAGACCCCTTCAGCCTGGGGAGAGAGACAGAGTGGAGCCCTTCACTGCCTGTGTTCATTGGCCTGAGTGGAGGCTGGAACAGGACACAGGGCGCCAGCGTGCATGGCTGGCGTGGTGAGGCCTCAGTGTGCATGTGTATAAGCCAAGTAGCTCTTAGTCCACGCGAGGACCGGTGCGTGAGTGGAGAGAGTGAGCTGGTGACTGAGTCTGAGGGGATGGCATACAAGGCAGTGGGGTGGACACCATGCCCCTTATCATTGCTCTGTATCCATTTGGGGGTCTCCCCAGGTGCTGTGCCCTCCACTGCAACGAGGGCAGAATGCTCACCCCTGCTTTTCCCCAATAGACTCTCTGCTGGGCTGTCATCAAACCACTGTTGTTGGTCCTGCGGACACTGGAAGAATAAGGTGCATGGAAATCCTAGGTCCACGCAGGACAAGGGACCATGTCAGTGGGCTTGGGCATCATGCCAGAGTTGCCAGCGTGGCACTGGTGCCTGAGGGAGGGGCTCACCCAGAAGCCTGCTGGAAAAGCACAGATTGGGGTGGCACATGGCAAGACTAGTATATCATGGAAACTGGGCTTTCCTGTCTCCTCACTCCTGTAAACTGGCGATGCCCCAACACAAAAGCATACCAGTCTCTCCATCTCTTTTACCTGTTTTTTGGGCATGGACCCCAATCTGGGCCTCGCCCGGACCCACCATCACCACCAAGAATCCCTCACCTAGCATGGATGACCTCTTCAGAAGAACTTGGGGGTTCAGAGAGGAAAGTAGCCCCTGGGAGGCTCACCTGGGAGAATGAGCGGGGAGCAGGAAGGAGGGAGGAGCGGGAACAGACAATTGGGAGAACCAAACAATTTGGAAAGAGGCTGAAAAAAAATGAGAACTGGAAACCGGGACTTTGGTGCTGGGGGCAGGGGCAGTCAGCGCTCGGATGTGTGGTGACATTTCCAGGGGAGGCCCCAGCACCTCCAGGGCCCTGGAAAGAGCTCTCCAGGCCTGGCTGCACATCTCGGGGAAGGAGCTGGGGCAGCTCCTCATGCAGTGCTTTCTCCAGAGAACTCCCTGAAGGGCTTACAATCTCTTTGTTTTGTGTTCATGGCTGGTGGGGCACAGGTAGGAGGGAAACAGCTGTCAGGTGGGACTCCGGGACCCTAGGAGAGCAATGCATTTGCTCAAGCGCTGGGCCCATAATAACCCCTTTCCAGGACCCGCTCCCCAGCTCTCAGGCCAGCGGGCAGGCAGCGGCAGAAGGAAACGAAGGCCCTGGTGGAACTCAGCCAGGTGCCCAGCTCTTGGCCCGGTGAGCCCGAGTGCTCTGCTGCCCCTCCTGGCCCTCTGACCCGGGGGCCACTCTCCCTGGGGCCGGGGTCGCGGCTGGCCTGGGGCTGCCTGCCTTCCTTCACCCCTCCCTTCCTCCCCACAGCTGGGTGGGGTCCCTGGGCTTGGCTGAGGCCCCTGTGGCCACAGTGTGAGGGCCTGGCGGGGGGGACGGCGTCGGCGTTTTTTAAAAATAAACCAACCGCAGGGAAACCAACGGAGCCGGGCAGGGCTGGGCAGAGGGGGAGGGGCGGTCAGGGGGAGAAAGAGGGAGGAGCGGCCTGGTCTGGGGGTTTTCTGAGGCCCAGCACCGCAGGGGTTTTCTCCTAGGTGGGAAATCTGCTTTCCTCCTCCCCCGTTTCTAGTTCCTCCCTCCTCTTTCCCTGGCCCCGGCTCTTCCCATCACTTCCCTTTGTTTATTCTCCTCTCCTCTCTCCTGCCTTTTGTCTTTGACCTTTCTGCTCCCTGCCCATTTTTGCCCCTCAATGCCAGTTTCACCTCTCTGTTCCCCTTTTCTCCATCCTTGGGGCTTTTGTGTCAACGCCTCCCTCTTCGTGAGGGCCTTTGCATCCCTTGTCCGGGTCTCTGCCTCTTACCTTCAAACAGCACATTTCTGCCACCGCCTTCTGCAGGGCCTTGGCCTGCCCCGCCAGCCGCCCTGCCCTCGTGCTCCCTCTGCTTGGAAGTCACAGGCTCCAAGGAAACCCTGGCTGGGAAGAATTGGAGGCCTTTGGTGGCTCAAATTTGGGCATCCATGAGGTCAACAGGGAGCTGTAGCTTTGCTCTTGGGGTGCGGCGCGGCAGCGGTGATCCTATACACCCTTCCCTGCCATCTTAAGATCCCAGACCTCGCTCCAGGCTTGGTGACACCCACACATACCACATGCTGGCCGCTGCCAGGAAGGCCTGGGGACCCTGCAGTCTGGGGTTCTTTTTCAGCTTTACCTGGAAGTCACCAGGTACTGGGGCTTTGGAGGGCCCCAGTCAAGGAACTGTTCAGGATCCGCCTTTGAGGGCATCTTTTGTGGTGGGAGGCTCGGTAATGGGTGCCAGTCAGGGATTCTGGGTGGCATCTCCTCCTGGGAGGCCCTGAGGCTGCCATGGAGTAGCACAATTGGGTATTAAGGGCACTCTGGCTTTCTGAAGACCCCCATGGCCCAGCCCCTTCATTCACTGAGATGTGAGAGAAGGGTGAGACCAGCTTGTGGAGTGCCTGTCGGGGGACACTGGGGCATGGAGGAGTGTGGCTGTGAGCTGGGGTTTTGGCAACCCTAATTCCCTGCCCTAAGGGGCATAAGGACCTTGGGCTCTTCCCATCCTCCCAAAAGGGTCCCAGCTGGCTCCACAAAGCAGGAGGGGCCCACTGCCCTCTTGAAAGGCACTTTTGCCTCGGCCACAGCCCTGGCTTGGGGCAGCCCTATTCCTTCTCAATGTCTCAGTGTCTTCGCATCACTTCTCTTGCTCCCAGCCTAGGGTCCCTGCCAAGAGATTCCTTACCAGGGACACAGGACACAGCCCCAGGGAGACCGGGCGACTGCCTTGGTCAGGAGCCAGAGCACAGATAGGAAGTGAAAGCTGGGACTATCTGGAATGGGGGTAACTACAATCCCCTGATACTTTGCCTTCTCCCCATGCTGCTCTCTGAGCCCCACCGGCCCTCTCCGCATCCCTGACTGTGGCCTCAGGTCTGAAGCCACTTCCAGGGGTGAGGATCCCTGATTCTCATCTCACCCAGGACTGCCTCTGGCCCAGCATCTCTCTTAACTATTAAAGTGTTTTCTCTTTCTCCAGGCCCTTGCACCCACCCCCCCAGCAACTGCTTCCTGGATTGGGGTGTTAGACTGCAGTCTTGGGGCTGTCCTTCCAGGACTCCATCTGAGCTCTGCCCTGACGCCCTCCTCGCCCCCCAGCCTCACTGGCCCCTCTTACCTCTAATTCCCTGTCAACTCTTCCCTGACCCCTTTGTACTGGTCTTCAGGTCTCAGTCTTAGAGCCTGGCCTTTGTTCTGCGCTGCTCTCCCTAAGCGGCCTCCTTCTCTCCACAGGAGGAGGCGCACTATGGCTCCAGTCCCCTGGCTATGCTGACAGCAGCGTGCAGCAAATTTGGTGGCTCCAGCCCTCTGCGGGACTCAGCGACACTGGGCAAAGCAGGCACAAAGAAGCCATACTCTGTGGGCAGTGAACTTTCAGCCCCCAAAACCATGGGGGATGCCTACCCAGCCCCTTTTGCAAGCACCAATGGGCTCCTCTCACCTGCAGGCAGCCCCCCAGCACCCACAGCGGGCTATGCCAATGACTACCCTCCCTTCTCCCACTCCTTCCCTGGGCCCACGGGCACGCAGGATCCTGGGTTGCTAGTGCCGAAGGGGCACAGTTCTTCTGACTGCCTGCCCAGTGTCTACACCTCTCTGGACATGGCACACCCCTACGGCTCCTGGTACAAGGCAGGCATCCATGCAGGCATCTCACCGGGCCCAGGCAACGCTCCTACTCCTTGGTGGGACATGCATCCTGGGGGCAACTGGCTCGGTGGTGGGCAGGGCCAGGGAGATGGGCTGCAAGGGACACTGCCCACCAGCCCTGCTCAGCCTCCACTGAACCCTCAGCTGCCCACCTACCCCTCTGACTTTGCCCCCCTTAATCCAGCTCCCTACCCAGCTCCCCACCTCCTGCAACCAGGGCCCCAGCATGTCTTGCCCCAAGACGTCTATAAACCCAAGGCAGTGGGCAACAGTGGGCAGCTGGAGGGGAGTGGTGGAGCCAAGCCCCCTCGGGGCGCAGGCACAGGGGGCAGCAATGCCTACGGGGGCAGTGGAGCCGGGCGCTCTTCCTGCGACTGCCCCAACTGCCAGGAGCTAGAGCGCCTGGGGGCGGCAGCAGCCGGGCTGCGCAAGAAGCCCATCCACAGCTGCCACATCCCTGGCTGTGGCAAGGTGTACGGCAAGGCCTCCCACCTGAAGGCCCACCTGCGCTGGCACACAGGGGAGAGGCCCTTCGTCTGCAACTGGCTCTTCTGCGGCAAGAGGTTCACCCGTTCTGACGAGCTGGAGCGCCACGTGCGCACTCACACCAGGGAGAAGAAGTTCACCTGCCTGCTCTGCTCCAAGCGCTTTACCCGAAGTGACCACCTGAGCAAGCACCAACGCACCCACGGAGAGCCAGGCCCAGGCCCCCCTCCCAGCGGCCCCAAGGAGCTGGGGGAGGGCCGCAGCGCAGGGGAAGAGGAGGCCAGTCAGACACCCCGACCTTCGGCCTCACCAGCACCCCCAGAGAAAGCCCCTGGAGGCAGCCCAGAGCAGAGCAACCTGCTGGAGATCTGAGCTGGGTGGAAGGTCTCTAGCCCCAGGGTTGCCTCCCCAGCCTCTCAGACTCCGTGGACCACTGCTTGCCCCTCACTCCCTTTGCCCCATGCATGCTGCCCTCCGGGGTTCTCTCTCCCACCTGGGCATCCTGGGCCTGGGTTTCTCCCCGCATGTCTCCTCTGCTCACCTGCGCCTGCCGCGAGCCCGCTCAGCAGACTCATCTCAAGCCTCACCTGTGCCTGATTTCCGCACCCCGGCTTCCTCAGCTCCCCTCCCCCTGCTCACAGCTTCTCTCCTTCGCCAGACCAACTCTCTTTCCACTAACTCCCTGATGTGCTTCCTTTCTGCCTCCCAAGCTTATTCACCACTACCCCTCGGCTTCCAGGCTCCAGCTCCCCAACTTCTTATTCCACTGCTTTCCATGCTTCAGAGCCTTCTTCCTTTTACAGATGATGATGATAATTTATTGCCCCCTGGTGGCCTCTTCATTAGGAACCAGAGTTAGGGGACTTGGGGTTTAGTGACCTGGCAGGGAGTAGGGTGCCCGGAGGGGGGCAGACTGATGGGGATCTGATCCCAAAGACGGGATGACCCCAGGGTCAGGGAGGCTGCCCCCACGCCTGTATATTTAACCCCTATGTTCCAAGAGAAATGAATAGTAATAATAGTAATTCTATTTATGTAAGTTATGATGACAGGTCAGGTAGAAGGAGCTGGGAGGAAGGTGGTCCATTTTTGCTATGGAATTTTAGCCAAACGCATCTCTGTACAGAAAGCGTCAGTGGAGATCTTGTTAATAGAATTTCTATCATCAGGGTCTCCATTAATGGGGTGTCTCTTTTAATGGATCTCTCCTAATAGGGTTGGCTAGCTAGATCTCTGTTCAAGAGTTGATTGGGTATCTCCCACTTAGGGGATCCCTAATATTCCCAGTCCCAGTCAGAAGCTGTGAAACCTCAAGTCCTATGGAAGGGAGCACCGGACTATACCCCAGCTCCCTTGGCCCCAGAGCAGGTTCCTCCACCCCCGTCCCCTGATACCATGACCCCATCAGGCTAATCCCTTGTTGCTATGGTTATGGAGAGAGTGCAGCTGCCATTTTAGACATGCTCTTTGGGGAAGCCCACCTCACAGGAGGACATTGGTTTGGCGGTGCCCCTCCTGAAGAATAGGTGGGGGAAGGCTTTCTCTGGGATCAGATTCTAATAAATCAAGTATTTATTGGTGCCTACTCTGTGCAAGGCACTGTACTAGGCCCGGTGCCTAGAAGCCATGAGAAAGAAGAATTTATATAGCTAGGAGGACAGAGGTCCCCAAGCTGATTGGGGGGTGTGCTCCCAACCTGGGTCTTCTGATGCTCCCAACTCCACCTCCAGTGACTTTTAAAGCCGCTTCGTGCCTTTGAATGCCTTTCCGGTGACTCTGGATCCTCCTTTTCTATCTCCTTCCTCAGGGCCCCAGGTCAAAGGGTTAAAGCCGCTGGAGCTTGGGGACAGGGTAAAATCGTGGAAGGGAAGGGATCATGTCCTCATGGAGTCTTCTTTTTTTAATTTAATAAATAAAAAGTTCGATTTTAAAATGTGTCCTGGTGAGAAAAGGGGAAGAGGCCGGGTGAGCGAGAGGGGTGGACACACGATTTTTCCTCGGCGACCAGGGGCCTGGCCCTGGGTGCTCCACGGCGCCCACCGGCACACGGGGCCCGCGCCAGCGCGCACTGGACCGCCCAGGGGCGCCTGCTGCGCCGGGAGGGCAGGGAGGTTCCTTCCCGGCTCTGTCCACCTCAGGCCCGGCCAGGGGCCGGCTCGGGCGCCCGCCCCGCGGCCGGCCACGGCGCAGACGACGGCTCCGGGTCGGCCCGGCGCGGCCCCCGGCGGGAGGACCCCGCCTGGCCCGCCCCCCGCCCCCCGCCCCGGGCCTGCAATCAGCGGTGCCCGCCGCCGAGCGAGCGCGGGAACAAAAGCCACTCTGTGGCGGCGTCCCCGAGCCACAATCAGGCTTTGTGCGGCCCCCGCCCCTGGGGCTCCCCCGCTGGGCCGAGGGGGCGCGCAGGCCGCTCCCCCCGGCCCGGGCCCGACCGCGGGCGGCGCCCCTCGTTCGCCGGCCGGCCCGGCGCGGCGCTGGAGGGGGGCGAGGCGGGCCGGGGGGCTCCGGTTACGACCCCCCCGCGCCGGCCGCCGCGCCCGCCCAGGTGCGAAATCTCCTGCCCGCGGGCGGCGCGCGGCTTCAAAGGCGCTTTGAAGAAACCCGGCTCCGAGGCCGGCTCCGGCGGCCGGCGGCCGCGGCGGAAGAGGAGCCGGCCGCGGGCGGGGGACGTCCGGGACAGGCGGCGGCCCGAGGGGACCCCCGGCCGCACCCCTCCCCGCCAGCGGCTCCCCGGGACCCCCCAGGACCCGACCCTCTCGCCCCCGGCCCCGCCCGGCCGGGGCCAGCGGCCGCCCGCCGCAGCCCGGCGGCCCCCCCGCCGGCCCCTCGGCCCCTTTCATCTTCCCTCGACTCCGCTTGGGGTTTTGCTGGGTTCTGGGAGATAAAAACCGCCTCAAATAGCGGCGGCGCGCTGCCAGGACAAACAGGGCCGGGCGCGCCATGTGCGCCTGGTTACCGGCCCCGGGCCGGGCGCCGGGCTCGGCGGCCCAGGAGGGGCGGGGGCGGAGCTCCAGGCCGCGGGCTCCGGCGACGCCTCCCAGGGGGCGCCCGCGGGGGGCTGGAGCGTCGCGGGCCGCGGCCGGGGCGCTGCCCGGAGCCCCGCCCCGGCTCCACGGAGGGCCCGGGGGGGGGGACGCGGAGCGCGCGGAGACCCCGGGGCGCAGGGTCAGCGGCGCCGCGTCGCCAGGGCCGTCGCGCCCCCTAGTGAGGCCAGCGGGGAGGGCGCCGAGGCCGGGGCTTGGGCCTCCCACGAGTCTGGAAATTGGGAAAACCGTTCAACAAACACTAAATTAGCCATATGAGGAGCGAGGCGCGCATTAGGAATACACGCAGCACGGCTCCTTTCCTCCAGTTCATATTACTATTTTTTTTTAAAAGATTTATTTATTTATACAAGAGCTGGGGCACAGGCCAGAGGCGCGGGAGGGTGAGAGGATTCACCAGAGACAGAGACAGAGCTGGGAGCAGAACAGGCAGACTGACGAAATACACTGTGAGGGGAGCAGCGGGCGAGACAGGTGAGGTCTGTTGCACTATGTGGGTTGCTCCCTGGCCGGCCGGGGATCGAACCGGTGCTTCAGAGGCTGCGGACAGCTTCACAGGGCGGCGTTTAACCCGCTGCGCCACCGGGGAGGGCCCCCTCCAGTTCATATTACAGGGGTAAGCGTCAGGCACCTAACTGATCATTACAACACAATATGTTGGCGGAAAATCAGGAGGCAGGTAAGGGAGGTGGAAGTTGCAGGCCCAGGTCATAGTATTTTCTTGGGGGTGTCTGAGGTCGATTGGTGTCAAGATTGAGGTACAAATAAAAAAAAACTTCCTCGGTGGGTCCTCAGTGCTTTCCATTAATCTGTCAGAGTCCAGAACTCCCTCTTCAGCTTGCTCTGCTCCCCCTTCTCAAGAAACTATTCTCAGTCACTTTCTCCAAACTGCCTCCCCTTTTGTGTTAGGCCTTTAAGCTTTCCGTGACTTGCCGGGTGACAGTGAACTAATCTTGCAGATTACACAGGGGCTACTCCAAGTGTGGTCAGTGCATATCACCTCAGGGTGGGGGGCAGGGGTTGGAAATAACAGCTTCAGCGCTACACCCCAGAATCTGCAGCTCAGCAAGAGCCTTGGGTGTATTCTTTGTCCATTAACATTTGAGACCTAGTAGACTAGAGGCTTTTCTTGGTGAAGTGCAGTTTCTGAGGCACCTTCTGGAGCCCCTTGTTTTCTGACATGGGATAACTCTCTAGGGGAGAACTTTTCTTTCTACTTTTTAAAAAAGATTTATTTTTTTTTAATTTATGCACACAAGAGCTGGGATGGGGTGTAGTCTGGAGGTGTGGGGTGTGAGAGGATTCACCAGAGACAGAGTGGGGAACAGAACAGGCAGACTGACTGAAATACACTGCTGAGGGGAGCAGTGGGTGAGGCAGGAGAGGTCTGCTGCGCCATGTTGGTAGCTCCCTGGCCAGGGATGGAATTCGTGCTGCAGTGGCTGCTGATAGGTTCAGAATGCTGAGACTTAACTCCTTGCACCACCAGGGAGGCCCTGATTTGTTAAATGAACTAACCAATGCCCAAGATTACCTAGTTCGTGAGGGAATTGTGATTAAAAACAAACACCCTGTCATGTGTTTGACACTTTGCAATTTAATAGTGACTTCATTTCCATTATTTTGTATGGGAATCAACATATGAAATGATCAGAACACTCTGCAAATGAGGAAGATGAAGTTCAGAGAATTCAGTGACTTTTCCAAAATCAGGGCAGAGTAAGAAAAGTAGCTCTGACCCGTTTTCTTCCAGTTCTAGTTTCATCCTGAGGAGCGAGAATAAGGTCAATCTCACTTGTATTCTTAAGTGAGAATGCCTAGTTTTGGTATTTCTAGGTCTAATCTCCATGTTTCACTTTCCTCGAGGCTCTGTACAGTACTCCCCTTGCAGGGTAATGTTGTGAAGGTTATGCAAGCACTTCGCCATAGCAAGTGCTTAGTGGAAGTTGCAGGCCCAGGTCATAGTTCCCATTTTCCCTTCCACACCTGGGCCTGTGGGCTTTAAATTCGGCGGGTGCAGGACAGTCCCTCCCAGGGTCTCTCCTCTGATTATTTTCCTCCTCTTGTAACAGGGTGGTCCCCAGGAAAGGGGGAGTTTCCCTGCCCCACCCAAGGGAGGGTGGAGCTGAGCAGGAAGAGGAGAAGCTGCAGAAGAGACTGAGGAAGGAAGCAGGATGGAGCCAGGAGACCTGGAGGAGGCGCATGGAGCCTAGAGACACGTGAAGAAACTGCGCTTGTCTTTTGGTCGTGGACTGGGTGACACAGATGTGGGTGAGACCCGTGGGGAGGTGACAATGGCAGCTTTTATCTGGATGTTGATTTTGCTCTTTTCCTTCCGGGCTTGTCCGGTTGTTTGTGACCCTTTTCTGTGGGTCCCCACTGGA